CCTGCTGTGATGCATTTAACATCCACTTTGCAGATAAAATCTCTCGGAAAAGAGCCGACCTGGATGCCAGTATTTTGACAGAATCCATAGACGAGGTGTCCAGCAACTCCGTTGATGGCATTTTAATGGCTCAGCTTCAATCTGTGAGTATTGATGATGTGGACAAGCTTCTTGGTAGTGTGAGGAAGATGACCTGCCCTCTCGATCCATGTCCATCTTGGCTGATTGTCCAGGGGGGTGACGCGTTGAGGGTATTCCTTCGGGATACTATCAATGTGTCTTTCAGGGAGGGCATCGTTCCATCTTGTCTAAAGGAGGCGGTGGTTAAGGCACTCCTGAAAAAGCCTTCCTTAGACCCCCTGGATTGGAATAACTATAGACCGGTCTCCTTGCTGCCCTTTTTAAGCCAGGTCTTCGAGAGAGCGGTTGCCTCCCAACTCCAAGTTGTCTTGGATCCATTTCAAACCAGCTTTAGGATGGGATATGGACTTGAGACTGCCATGGTTGCGCTGGCTGACAACCTCCACTTGAGTATCGACAAGGGTAGTGTGACCCTTTTGGTGCTCTTGGAACTCTATGCGGCCTTCGATACAACAGACCACTCCATCCTCTTGGATCGCCTGAGAGAGTTAGGAATCGGAGGCACTGCTTTGCAGTGGTTCCGTTCCTTCCTCTCGGGCAGATCCCAGAGGGTGAGGCTCGGGGACAGTTGCTCTTCCAAGATAGAGCTTAATTGTGGTGTCCCTCAGGGTGCCATCCTATCCCCGATGCTATTTAACATCTATATGAAGCCGCTGGGAGAGATCATTCGGAGGCATGGAGCACGGTGTCTTCAGTATGCTAACGACACCAAGATATATCTCTCCATGACCCGGTCGTCAGCTCAAACTTCAGATGGCATTTCTCCTCTCAATGATTGTCTTAATGCGGTAATGGACTGGATGAAGAAAAACAGATTGAGACTGAATCCAGACAAAAAGGAGGTACTAATAGTCATGGGCCCGAAACCAGGTCTGGGAATACAACTCCCAGTCCTGGATGGA